TTGTTTCTTTGGCTTTATTTTATTCATTTTCCCAGGAGGTGGCGTGGGTTTGAGAAAGAGAACTGCTAATGTTGCCACTGTTACCATAGCCATTTGGCTGCTCCATGTGGCTGAGGGTCCTCTCCATCTGTTTTCTTCCTTCTTTTACCTAGGCTCTCTTTTTAATCCTGCCCCAGTCCCAAACCATGTGATATTTCCTTGCCTCAGAAGATAAGCAAAATCTCCAAATCCTGGAAGTACCTTCAGATCTAAGCCATTCTTAGGTGCTGTACGTGAAACAAAGAAAGCACAAAATTACCTTCTTCTGCAGTCACTGGGAGGGAGTAGGGGATAAGGGGGCAGAGGATGCTAAGAATCATACAGTTTTTAGACCATCTGTAAGTTTTTACTTGGCTGTTGGTGTTCTAAATGGGAGTCCCTTCTCCAATGATTAATGTGTAGTTGAACTACTGGAGCTTGTACACACACACCCTAAACTAGTATATGAAAGGCTTCATCATTGGTGCTGCATCTTCAAAGTCATTTGAGAAGATTGTAATTCTGTGTTAAACAAAACCCCAGAATCACTGCTAGAAGGCAAGGGAGTTTGGTGAACTTTCCCCTGTATGATCCTTTGAACCTTTTCCCTAAGCTATGGGATCCTTCCTGATTAATCAATTTTGATCAACGCTCAACTAAATAATATGGTTTTTGAAATTCTGCTACTTTGACGAAGACTTCCATCATGGATCAAAAGAGAAGAGATTACTTTCCTTGGGATTTAGAAATCCTATGGTATTCTCTTCACTCTCACTGCCTTACCCACTCCCCCACTCCTCTGACACCTGATTTTAATACTTATGGTATATAAGAAGGCCTTCAAAGCCTGGCCCTAAAGTCCACATCCAGCCTTAGCATGCATTTCTTCCCTTCAAGTTCCCCATAGTCTAGTCAAATCGGCCTTACGACTTCTCATACTTGGTCCTCCCATCTGCCATTCCCCATATCTGGAATGGGTTCTCTCCTCACCTCCACCTCTTGGAATCCTTAGTCTCCTTCAAGACTCAATTAAAGCCTCCTCTTCCTAAGGCCTTTCCTGACCCCCGCAGTTGCTAGCATTTTACCCCACCCCATCACTTCTCTATTTTGCTGTTGTTCAGTTGTTTTCAATCCTGTCCAACCCTTTGTGACCCCATTAGAAGTTTGGTTTTTTTTTTGGCAAAGATATTAGAGTGGTTTGCCATTTCCTTTTCCAGTTCATTTTCTAGATGAGGAAACTGAGGCAAAGAGGATTAAATGACTTGTCCAGGGTCACATAGCTAGTTAAGTGTCTGAGGCCAGATTTGAACTTAGGAATAGTCGTCCTGACTAGGCCTAGCACTCTGCACTATGGTGCCACCTAGCTACCCTATTTTGTATATCCCTATATATTCATGTGCTGGTTTCACCAGTAAAATGCAAGCTTTTCGAGGGCAGACTATGTGGTTCGTTTTTGTATGCACGTAGTACATTTCCTGGCACATAGTATCTCACTGCATTATGCAGACATAGAAAGGTTCAGGATATCAGGAGTCTAATGCAAGGACACATGAAGCACACAACATAGTAAAGCAAACCTGCTTTATTGAAGGGACACACAATATGAAGGGTAGTCAAGGTTTATTGTGAAAACATGTCTGGTTTGCTGGGGCCCAGGTGAAATTGGGTGCACTCTGCTAGGGACCTGGAGGGAATGGGGCACCTCATCAATAATGTCCGGTGGGTTTTTGTAAATTTTTAGAGTTCAGCAAGACTAGGTTTTGGGGGGAAAGGAGCCTGAAGCTGATAATTCATGTTGGTGTCAGTCAATAATTTAAGTGCCTACTGTGTGCTAGGCACAGTGCTAAGCATTGTTAGTGGGAAGCTGCAGCTAGTTGATATTCAAACTCCCTGCTAGGGTTGGGGTGCAGGCAAGGGGGTTTGGCCATCACTGTAGGTCTTACTCTGACTGGGTAACTCAGGGGTTTTGATCTTCCTTAGGGCTTTTTTATTTAGCAGGTTGTATTCCTTACAGTGAGTCATAAATATTTGTGGATTTAATTATTGATAAATATTCCACCGTGGCCTTTTAGCTTCTTTTCTGCATTTCTTCTATGTCCCTATCTACATCGGGGTTATTTGTTTTAGTGAACTCCTTTGTGTCAGGGGCTTGACAATCTGCAATATCTAGCATTAAACTTGCAGTTTCTTAATAGACAAATTTTGATGGTAATGAAGAAATACTGGTTTAGTATATAGGGTAGGTGCCAATAGCACATCACTCTCTCAAGTTAAGCCCACCCAAGGTAGACCCTTAGAGACCAGTTAATTCTGCTTTTTCTCTTTCACCCAACAGGCTCAGGAGGTGATGCCACCGCCTCTGCCTACAGGCCGCATGTATTCCAGGCTCATCCTACAGGCATGCATCTGGACCAAGCCATGAGGGCAAGCAAAGTTTTTTAAAATTTCATATTTGAAGGCTGACCTGGAGAAAAGACTATCAATAGCTTTCTCTCCACTTGTCCCTTTAAACACATGGAACAGTAAACATTCCGAGTACAAATTGTTCTCTTGCCCAAGTTGCTTCCGTGGGTTTCTGATGAGAACCTTAGCACTGGGCCACACTTAACAATGCTGTTCAAGGACAGTTCTAGGGGCTCGTGTTTACTTAATTGGTAGCTTCCTTCTCTCTTTTTGCCCTTCTCCCACCCCTCCCTTACCTTGCTGTGGGAGAAAGCAACTTCTATAAATACTAATAGCAGGCACTTGGAGCTTTTCATAGGATGAATGGACATGTGCTGAAAGGCCCAGGAACACAGTGTCAGGGAACAGAAAAGCTCACTCACCCCCACATTTCTCTGAAAAGATGCCTCTGCTCTATGATTACCTTGCTGGGGGGTCACTTCTTTGAAAATGAGTGAAGAGTTTATCATACAATCAACAATTCTCTAAAATCACTAACAAGCATAAGCGATGAAAAGAAACGGATTTTTGGACAAACATCCAATTTCTTGTCAAACACTCCAGTTCTGAAAGTTAGCCATCATTTTTTTTTTTTTTTAAAGATTTCAGTTTCCAGAGTGGCATTCTCCAAGCTAGAAACATCTGTGGGCTCTGACTAAAAGTAGAGAAAGAACAGGAAAGCATTTGCTCACTAACTGCTATCCCAAATTGTGGTTCCTGAAAAAGCACACAGAAACCCTTAAACCTTGGTGTCTACTTTCCGTATTTATCTTGAACTGTCAGGTGGATCTGGAAAAAGGAAGGTCTGAGTTAAAATCTTGCCTTAGCTAATTACTAGCTTCATAACCTGGGCAAGTCACTTAACCTGAACTACCTCAGTTTCCTCATCTGCAGAATGGGGATACTAATAGCACCTACCTAGTTGATGTCCCTGGAATGTGAGGAGACTTAATTAAGGAATGCATTTAGCACAATGGGTAGATGTAGATAGATCTCTGGAAGACTGTAGACAAGAATGGCACAGGATGAGAAAGTGTGGGTAGGTTCATCTGTACCACTGGAGAGAAGCCACATCGATCACACCATAAATGCACTGGAGTATTGGTTTGCTTTTACATATTCTATAGGTTAACACCCTATAATATTGATTTATAAAGTGATACCTCATTTTCATATTTGAATGAAAAATTAACAAGTTCTAATTTAACCATCTAACACAGAACTTTAAAAAAAATTACAGATCATAGGATCATGGATTGAGAACAGGAAGAGACATTAGAGACCATCTTGTCCACCTCCTTTATTTTATGATGAGGAAACTGAGGTCTAGAAAGATAAATGACCTACCCAAGGTCACACACGTAATAAGTAGCAGGGCTGAGAATTGAACTGAGGTCCTGATTCTAAATACAGCTTCCTTTCCACTGCATCACAACACCTCCTATACTTTACGAATGGGTTTTAAAATGTACGTTATTGACATAATTGTATATTGTTTTCATGATTTTGCTTACTCAGTTCTGTATCAGGCATTTCTATATTTGTTATTTCTTAACAGAGAAATGGTATTTTTGGTTTTATTAAAAAAATCTTTTTTACTGTTATCTTTTATGTCACCCACACTTCACATTTCCTTTTCCTCCTCTCTTATAACAAAAAACAAGAGAGGGAAAAGGCAGCTCAGAAAAACTAAGCAACATGATGAAAAGGTCTGGTGTTATCAGTAGTATTCCTTGCCCATAGCCTCCCACCTATGCAAAGAAGTCGGAGGAGGTGCCTTTACATCAATTTCTGGGGCTAAGCTCGGTCATTATAATTTCCCAGTATTGTTTCAATTATTTAGTTGTTATTTTCACAAACATTTTTATAATTGTATAACCTTCCTGGATTATTTCAATAGCCTGCTGGTGGGTCTGCCTGCTTCAAGTCTTTCCCCACTCCAATCCATCCTCCATTCAGTCACTAAAGTAATTTTCTCACCATATCATACTTCACCCACCCCCTTGTTCCTTATTCAATAAATTTAGTGGCTCACAATTATCTCCAGGATCCTTTGTTTGGCATTCAAAGCCCTTCATAACCTAACTCCCTCCTACCTCTCCAGTCTTCTGGCACCTCAGTCCTCAACACATACTTTTCAATCCAGTGACACTGGCCTCCAGGCTATTCCACAAGCAAGACACCCCATCTCTTGGCTCTGGGCATTCTCTCTGGCTGTCCCCCAGGCCTGAAACACTCTCCCTCCTCTTCTCTCCTTTCCAACTTCCCTAGTTTCCTTTAAGTATCAATTAAAATCCTACCTTCTATGGGAAGCCTTCCCCAACCCCTTAATTCTAGAGCTTTCCCTATTATTTATTTCTTATTTATATACTCTATAGCTGGCTTATATATATTTGCATGCATGTTGTCTCTCCAATTAGACTGTGAGCTCTCTGAGAGCAAGGACTGTCTTTTGCCTCTTTTTGTATCACCAGAGCTTAGCACGGTAGTTGTTCAATAAATGTTTATTGATACATTTAAAAGTAAAAATAAACATACTATTTCTAATAATAGTTTTTATTCTAACATCATGCAAACTTAATTTTTAGAGGAAAAATTAGTTGGAAGCAGCAGCCTTCAAACCTTTCACATTAATCATGTTTTTCATATACTTCAAATTTATACTGAATGCCGTTTTCTTCCTGGACATCAGTAAGAACACCTGGATATCTGAAAAAGAAAGATTTATGTATTACTAAATAATGTGACCTGAAATATAATATAATATTAGCAACTCTTACTAAAGGATGCCTGTTAAAATCAGTATTTTGACAAAATGTAACATGATATGAAAACAAAATAGAAAGATAAAAACTGTCTTGGCAAGTATTTTTATTTTGTTTGTCCTGGATTTTATGTCATGGAGGGCAGATCTTGTAATATGTCCTTTGGCATTATTGTCAGAGAACAAATACTGGATGCATGTTTAGGTTTTATTCTGTATAGTGCCTTTGTCTCATTCATTTAATAGAAAAACATTTATTAAGAACCCAATACTAGCTGTGTGACCCTGGGCAAACCACTTAACCCTGATTGCTTCCAACCCCTCCAAAACAAAACAAAACAAAACAAAACAAAACCCAAAAGGTCCAAAGCATTGTGTTAGGTGAATATTTATAATAACTTGAACTTAAATATAGAATTTCATCTGTAGACCTGAATATAGTTAACAGTGTTGAGCAAAAAGCTGGTACTGAATAGAGTATTTGACTTATTGGACTGATACTATGTTCTAAAATTCCAAATTTATAATAGATTGGAGTTTTTGTCCCAGAATTACCTTTCCTTTGCAGATTTCTACGGTTTCCTAATCATTATTTTCGTACTTATTCTTGAGCTTTGTAATCTCCATCTTTCCACAAGGTCATCCTAGCTCACAGGAGAATTAAGAGTCTTTTCCTTCAAGACCCAGCCTAAGATTCATCATCTTTATGAAGCATTCCTTTACAATGTCAACATACCTTGATGTTCCCCCCTCCTGAGGAATTTTTAAACTAGAAATTGGGACAAAAACTCTATTAGGGCATGCAGGACAGGCTGTGAAGACAAACTCAAGAAAATGATGCTTTTAAGGCAGTTGACATGCACCCAGCAAACTGAAACATATGGGAAATGTCATTAAAAAAAAATCACACTAAAATATGTAAGATTTTTATACAAGAAACTTAAATAATAAAACAAGTGAATTGAAATGTTTGAATACAACTAAAGACCTCCATGTAATTAGCATTTTAAAAACTTGCTAGAAGGTATAACTAATAGTACTATTAGGAAAGTCAGTTACAAGAAGAAATGTAATATTATGAGAGCTATCATAAACTATAATGGTATTAAAATCTTGTTAACACAAAGGAAACACTAGAAAATATCCAGGACTATAAATGGCTCACTTAAATAGTAAGAAGTTAGTTAACTGGGTTATAGAAGACTAGTGATGATGAATATTACCCACAGTATGGGCAGTATGGGTCCCACACTGACTGAGAGGTGATGGACTGAAGATTCAGAATGAGGCACACATTTTTGGACACGGCCAATGTGGGAATTTATTCGGCTTGATTATGCGTATTTGTTACAAGGGGTTTGGTTTTCATTTTCTCAATGCAGAGAGGACAGGGGAGGAGTGGAGGTGGGAGGGAGAGAAAATAAATGTTGGCTTACTGAAAAATAAAAAAGTAAAAAAAAACCCCAAACATACCAAAAAACACAGAAGAATTTTCAGTACCATTGTCAGCAATGGGAACAACAGAAAATAAAACAATATAGAATAAAGGAATTGGATGACAAGATCTCTATAGTCCCTTGTGGCTTGAACACTTTATGACTCTATGGCTTCTCTGATGAGGAAGCCCAATGGCAGGATCAATAAATTGTTAGAATACTTAAAGAATACGCGGCATCTTTTTTCACATCCATGACTGAGGGTAAGAATGTTTTGGAATGGTAATTACTAAGTCAAGGCTCAAGAAAATCATTCAAACAAAAAACCCAAAATTATTTTGTTGAAAAACAGAAAGAAACAACCAGACAAAAAAGAAGATTTAGATCCTCGAGTCCAGAGAATGAATAAGAGATAAAATGATATCATGTAGTGGAGTGGCTACAAAGTTCTAAGGTCCATTTCAACTCCCAAATTCCACAGCTGCTAAAATAATAATGCTGATTTTTCAGGGAGTATGAACCTAGTAGAATTTGTATAAATGTGTGTTAACACATTTAAAAATAAACTTACCTTAGGAGCCTCTACAATTATTATAACAGTACTGTCATTGTGAAAAACATTTTTGAAGCCAATTTTTTGGAATGACCTTCAGAGCCATAAAAATTAGAAATTGTCTCAATGCACCACTTAGAAACAAACAAACAAACAAAATGGAATTGTTCAGATTGATCACTGACCCTTATTCCTAAACTTGGCTGCAAATAACTTCTGGCTATTTCTAAAAATCAAATTTGCCCTTCAAAGTTTGACTATTTGCCACGACTGAGTACAGTCAAGAAAACGTGCTCCAGGTTCTGAAGGAAATTGTAAAAGATGAGGTCCAAAAATATATGCAGTAACTATAGCATAACTGGAATAAATAATGCTTCCTAAGGAATTACTTTGAAGGGGATACCTTTCCCCTAAAAAGGGAATCAATAAAAGGAACACTGAAAGAAAGTTGGTGTTTCACTTCTTTGTAAAAGCCAACCTAAAATCAGTAAAATCTATAAAGACAAAGGCTTTCCTAATCCATCCTTTTTAACGCACATCATATCACTCCTCTGCTCAAAATCCTTCAGTGGGCTGGCCCATTAAGAAATGACTGAGATCACCACCCACACCCAATCTCTGCCTACCCAAGGTCCTTCCCTTCTTTCAAGTCCAACCTTGGGTTGATGAAGCCTTCCTTGACTATTTCCTAATCTCTAACATGTTAACATGACTGCTTTCTGAAAATTTTCACAGCACCTTTCCTGGATCTATTTTTGTACCTCTTTTTTTGGTCTTTCTCTTCATATTATATTGTAAACAGCTTGAAAGCAAGGTTTGTATAATTTCTATCTTTGTATTTAGCTCAGCACCAAAGAGAGTGCCTTGTACACAATTAGTATTTTATGTTTGTTGAATGAACTGAATAAATGGAGACTAACTGAGGATATACATACACACATGAAATATGACATATTAGATACATATAATATAGACTAGAATAACATATCACATATTAGAAAACTTACTTTCTTTTTTTTTTAGTGAGGCAATTGGGGTTAAGTGACTTGCCTAAGGTCACATAGCTAGTATGTGCCAAGTGTTTGGTCTGTGGCCGGATCTGAACTCAGGTCCTCCTGACTTCAGGGCTGGTGCTCTATCCACTGCACCACCTAGCCGCCCCTAGAAAACTTTCTTTTGAGACTATATAGAATAGAGAAAGGAAAGGAAACAACTTCATATAACTGCTCTAGGTAGCTTGAAAACATAGAATCATTATTCACCTGAGTTACATTAGAATCAATCATATAACAGCATAAAGTTATCAGGAACTTTTTATGCTTTTAATGAATTTCTAGGTGAACCTGCATATATTAGGTATTTAATAAATATTTGTCGACTTGAACAGAATAGGCTACAAAATGTTAATATTTGTATATTATAAATTAACATCAAAGCCAAAACAAAGAAAAGCTAATTCCAAATAAAACATGTTTTCAATTATTCTTTAGTGTACAGTTCAAGGAAGTACTTCAATTGAGTTGTGTTAACTTACTCTGGGAGAAGTTTATATTTCCTTAGATCAATTTCTGGAAAAAACGTGTCACACTCAAATTCTTGCAAAATTCTTGTCACAAACAGACGCTGATGACCAGGTTTCTTCATCGCTTCCTTCGAAAAGAAGACAAAAAGAATGAAATGGATCAACTGCCTAAAACAAAATGAGGAAGTGGCATCAGGAATAAATAACTGGTATCTAACTAAAGACAAAGGACAGCTAGGTGGCACAGTGGATAGTGTGCCAGGCTTGGAGTCAGGAAGACTCATCTGCATGAGTTCAAATCTGGCCCAGACACTTATTAGCTGTGTAACCCTGGGCAAGTCACTTCACCCTGTTTGCCTCAGTTTCCTCATCTGTAAAATGAGCTGGAGAAGGAAACGGTAAACCACTCCAGTATCCCTGCCAACAAAACCCCAAAGGGGGTCATAGAGAGTTAGACAAGACTGAAGTGAAAGAACACCAGCCAAAGACACTAAAGAAGAATATAGCCTTTCGGGGTCGAGGAGTTTGTTTTAATGATGTTATCTATTACACTGAGTATCTGATATCACACATATTGGTGACTTATAGAATGCCCTGCTTAAATGTCTTAACTGGTGGTCTCATACTTTCTTAGGTTGGTGGTATGCTAGTGCTGGCTGTGGTTAAAGCAATATTAAGGATGACTACAGGAAGGCACCAGCTACCTAATCTTTTGGCCAGCCCTATGCTTTATAAACACTTCTATCTGTGGCAGAGGAAGACAAGGAAATTAAAATCAACCTATTTTGTCATTTGCTTTCAAAAAGCTGGTAGAGGGAAGGAAGGGAAAATCAATAGTCAACACAATTTCCAGATTATCTGTGGTTTCAATGAGCCACATGCCTTTTCTGCCTCTGCTGAATAATAATAATTAATAATAATAGCTGGCATTTATACAGCTTTTTAAGGTTTACAAAGCACTCTACAAATATTTTATTCTTATTATAAAAGCCCTAGGATACAGGTACTATCATTATATCCATTTTACAGATGAGGAAATTTAGGCCAACAGAAGTTAAGTGATTTGTCCAGGGTCACACAGTTTGTAAATATCTAAGTCTGGATCTGAACTCAGGTCTTCCTCACTCCAAGTATAACAATCTATCTGTAAATCAAATGACATTATACTGAAGGAACAGAAAAGTTCTGGAACTGAATTTAAGAGTTCTTTATTTTTATTTAGGCAATGATTTGAAAAATGTGCTGGACTTTCTAGCCATTTAAATCAGAAATCGAAGACTTCCCTGAATGTGGATTCTTGCCTAAGAATGTGGCAATGTACCTTTTTTGTAGAAACTTCAATTCATTTGACAAATGTTTACTGAGTGCCTATTGCATGGAAGATACCATGCTAAGCAAAATGTATAAAATTTTACTATTTACTAATTTACTATTATAATGGAATATTATAAATCAGCTGCAAAACTATCAATCAAACAAAAGAATGGAAATGATAAGAATTTTAAAAATAAATTCTGAATGCTGGTTACGGTAAGAAAATACAAGTTGTTAGGGGCAGCTAGGTGGTGCAGTGGATAGAGCACCAGCCCTGAAGTCAGGAGGACCTGAGTTCAAATCCGGCCTCAGACCAAACACTTGTCACTTACTAGCTGTATGACCCTGGGCAAGTCACTTAACCCCAATTGCCTAAAAACAAACAAACAAACAAACAGAAAATACAAGTTGTTTAATTAGAAGAAAATGAGTATGTGAATGGTCGGTCACCTTTGCAGAGATTCTGAAAGGTACTTTTGGGTACTTGTAGGGGTTATAAATACACAGAAGGAGATTTCAGACTCAGAGAGGGAAGAGATAATGAGATACACAAATGGAAATGCCCCATCAATAGCCATTTGGAATATGGGAGAAGTCTGGATTGGAGATAAGAGTCTTCATCATCATGATAGGTAGCAAAGTGGCTTAGTGGATAGAGCACTAGACTCAGGAGTCAGAAAGACCTGAGTTCAAATTCTTCCTCATACTCTTAATGACTATATGACTCTGAGCAAGTTCCTTAACTTTTCTGAGCTTCAGTTTTCCTGCCTGTAAAACGAGGATAATAACAGCACTTGACTCATAGGGTTGCTGTGAAGATCCATTTGCTTGCAAACCTTAAAGTTTTATGTAAATGTGAGTTATCATATTTTACTTTATATTATACCATGTATATAACAACACATAATAGCTCCAGCTATTATTATATAATACTAGCTCACATTTACTTCCAAACTTTAAGGTTTGGAAAGAATGTTCCATACATTATTTAGAGATGATAATTAAAGCTATGGAAGTGAGCAGGAAAAAAAAAAAGGGGTGGGGAAGAGGCGATTCTTTCCACCTCTGGGTACTGGTCTGTAATTGGACATAAGGAAACATTCTCTTGCCATTTCTTAAAACTAGTTTAGAAGGCCTCCCTTCATTTACACTAGGTGATTAGTCTAAAGACTAAATATAGTACATGTAAGGAGAAAAGTGATTTTTCTTTTTTTAATAAGGAAAAACCTTTTAAAGCAGCTGACTGGTACATTTACTCATATTTGACTGATACTTCTGAATTTCAGTTATCTCTATAAACAACGTTTTTCTAAAGAGAGCTCACCTGCCTCACTGCTTATGACTATACTTTGCCACATGTTGTTAACGACTGTGCTTAAGACTAGATGGAAACTTCTTCACGAAACATTAACCCAACGCTCCTAACAGGCAGCATTGCTGAGAAAATGAGAGTTTTGAGAGAAACAACTCTACAATTGGTGGATTTCTGAAAATGCAAAAGGGAAAAAAAATGACACTTCCTAAAAATAATTCCACAATTATTTTTTTTGGGAGGTGAGGTGTTACAGTGCAGAAGTGGGGAGGATAGGTCTTAAAGCAACTAGCATATAAACATCATTTATGTCCCTATTATCTTTTGAGCCCATGTTAAGGTGGGGTCACAAGGTCAAATTTAAAGTTGTGCAAATTTTATTTTTCTATTTCTGGAGGCCACACGTGAGTCTTCAATCTTGTACCTTGCACTTCAACAGGCTGCCTACTTTAGAGGAAGAGGAAAACGAAGAATTTGGACAGGACCAAGGAAAGATTTAGTTAATTCTAGTTATTTACCAGGGAAGCCTAATGTTATGGAATATAGAACTACAAGGGACCTAATTCCTTTGGTGGATTAGCATATTTTTCCCTGCTTAGTTTTTAAACAACGTATTAATTACTTGATAGTCACATGATACCACTTCAACACCTGAGATGGTTGGCAGGTACCTAACCCTGGGCAGGGGACAACCAGACGTGTGCTGGTAGATGTTTAATTAGCTCTCAGGGAAAAAACAAAAACATAAAAACACAACAAATGTTTAAGTTTAGCTTGCATCAACATTTTCTCTCTTCCTCTCTTAAGTCTAGGCAATCAATAAACAAGCCTTCATTTGTAATGTTTGCCAATTTCTCAAGTGTAAACACTTACACTGAAAATTTAATATGGTTCCCATGAGCTGGCTCCAATATATCCCCATTTATACCACTCTGGATGTATCAGAGGGCTTAATGATAATATCAGCTAGCATTTATATAGTGCCTACTATGTGCCAAGCACTGTGCTGAACACATTACAAATATTATTTCGTTTGCCCCTTACAACAACTCTGGGAAAGTGATATTAGAATATTACATTTAGGAAATTGAGGTAAATAGGGTTAAGTCATTTGCTCAGTGTCCCGTTGCTAGTTAAGTGTTGGAGGTCACATTTGAACTCAAGTCTCTCTTACTCCAGGCCCAGAGCTCTATTCACTGTGTCACATAGTTAAAAATAAAACTTATGTAAATACCTTAATCCTAAGTATTTGAAATTTTTAAAGAAAGTATTTCTCAAGAATCTGGTATTCAACTCAACAAACCTTTATTAAATGGCTACTTGTACAAGGTCCCATGTTAGCATTACAAAAACAAAAATGGAAGGTCCTCATTCACAAGGAACTTACGTTCTATTAAGTGGATACAATAAAGGCATGAGTTAAAAAAGAGTTTATTCCAAGTAATTTAAAGAAGGTGAGGGTGCTTATATTGGGAAAGGGGAGACAAAGAAATCAGGAATAGCCTAGTGTAGGAGGTGGCACCTGAACTGTTCTCTGAAGGAAGCCAGGGCACTCATTCAGCAGAGATCATAAGAAAAGAGGGCATTTCAGAGACAGAGGAGCCCAAGGGGCAAAGATATGGAGGTTGGAGGTGGGACATCATGATGTGCAGGGACCAGCAAGCAGGCAAGTTTGACTGCAAGAGAATTTGTGAAAGGGAATAAGATGAAATAAGTCTAGAAAGATAGGTGGGAGCCAGAATGTGAAGGGATTTAAATGGCGGGTTGAAGATTTTATGTTAGATCCTCTAGATCAGGAATGGGGAACCTACGGCCTCAAGGCCACATATGGCCCTCTAGGTCCTCAAGTGCAGCCTTTTGACTGAAACCATACTTCAAGGAACAAATCTCCTTAATAAAAGGATTTGTTCTGTAAAACTTGGACTCAGTCAAAAGGCTAAACCCAAGGACCTAGAAGGCCACTTGCAGCCTCAAGGCCGCAGGTTCCCCACCCCTGCTCCAAATGATTGAGGGTCTACTGAAGATTTTTGAGTACAGATGGTAATATGGTTAAATCAGTTTTGGGAGCATCAATTCAGCAGGTGTATGAAAGATAGATTGGAGAGGGGAGAAACTAGGGGCAAGCAGACCAATTAGGAATCTCTTTCAGTAGTCTCCGTGACAGATAAGGGCCTACCTAGATTAGAGGCTGGGTTAAGAGAAAAGATTGGATATAAGTGATGTTGTAGAGATCAAACTGAATGGATACAGTAGATGGAAGAGTCAAGGACGTTCTCTGAAGGAAGGGAGGGCGTCTATTAGGCACAGTCAAAGAAAACTCAAGGATGATTTCAGGTTTGTAGCCTTGGATGACTGACTGGTAAGATGGTAGTGCCTATATGGAGGAGGGCTGGGTTTTAGGGTATACAACATGAGTTCTATTTGGAATATCCCAAGTTTGAGATGCCCATGGGCTATCCGGTAGAAGTGTTTTCAAAGCCAGAATGCTACAGCAGGATAAATGTGGGACTTAGGGGAAGCATGCATTCTAAATCCTGCTGCTGATACTCTGAGTCTCAGTATCCTTACCTATAAAACAGGGAAAAATAAAACCTTATGGTTATATACTGAGGTTATTATTTATTATATTAATAACCAGTTGTTAAATTAGGATCCAGGCTTTTCTCCTTGATTTCCTCATTAAGGCCCAGCTCCTACAAAAAGTCAGTCCCTGAAGGACATGAACAACTGAGGAAGATTACCCCTACTGACAAGGAAGGAGCTCTGAAATCTTGGGTGGGACCCCACCCAACTAGGACACTTAACTTCTGTTTACAATATAAATAGAATCTAGCCTGGGTGAAGTCTGGATGAGTTCTTACTCTGGAGAAAGAAGTCCCTATGCTTATTACCCTTCATTTGACTTTAGGGTGACCCAGGACATGAAGGAGAAAACCAACCAGAGAGGTCTGGATGGAGATGGATTCCTCTGTGCAGAATGCTGGAGGCGGCTGAGTCTCGTGATCAACCAATGTTCTCAGCAAGAGGAGCTTAAGACTACTAGCCCACCTCCTCATTAAATATCCACCAAGCAGGATTGATTTTCATTTGTCAGGGGCATTCCCTTTCAAAAATTATTTAAGGCTTTCAGGTTCTTCATGGGTCAATCTTTAGTTACCGAGAAGCCACCGACCATCAATTTATTGATTGTGGCTAGCCTAATTGATAAATTAATTATCCTTCTTGGAGTTTTTCATTTGTGACAATACCACAGGATTGTCATGAGGATCAAATGAGATAATGGCTGTAAGAAAGGTAGCACCCATCAACTTTTTTTTTTAGGGTGAAGTAGAAATGAGGGGAGATTTGGGCTCGTGTAGAGAACCGGCAAAGAGAATTCCTGTTGTGGCAAATCATGTGTAATTTCTAACCTGGGAATGTTGCCTGGGGTGTACTGAGAGGTCAAACGACCTATCCTTGGTCTGGTAGGTAGTTTGGATAAGAAAAGATTTGCTAGTCTTTCCTGACTGAGGCCTGCTCTCTACACTGCCTCTTCATCAAATAATATATTGTAATATTACCTGGATAACTATTTTAAAGAATGTAATGAAAGTCTTCTTAAATGTTAGAGCTGAAAGAGACTTTAGAGGCCATCTATTTTAACTCTTAATTTATACTGAAAGAAAACAAGGCCTACATTCAGGGGTGTGCTGAAGCCAGTCAGAACTGGTTCAGAGTTAAATTTCCAGTGTGTTCATTTATCTAGGGAATGATACAAACAAAGGCTTGATTCATTGTTTTGCTGATTATCTAGATGTAAGAAAGTAGGGGAGAAAATGAATATTTACCAGCACACCCAATTTGAAATACTAGAATAATCCTCTTTTAGACCAAGTTTGGCTGGAAGAAAAATAAATAAATGCCTCTGGGTTATACAGAAAATTTTCCCTGAAGATTTAAAAAAATAAAAAAAAAAGGTAGTAGTACTACTGATTTAAGAGCATCCATGTCTGGATTATGACCACTGACTACTTAGGAAACCCTTTTACATCATAATAAAATTACCAGTCTGGGTCAAGCCATTTACTTTTAGAAAAAGTAAGGTATTTGTTATCAATGACATATATTGGCCAAATTAGGACAACCAACCCTTAATCAGACTGTGCAGGTTGGATCACAAGGAATGGAGGATAGAATTCAAGGCAAGTTTGATTTCTCAGGGAAAAATTTAAGATGGCTTTTAAATTTGGAACATTAAAAAGAGGCAACATGAGAAAAAAGATGTTTCCATGAAATCACACAGCACTATTTAAAATTCTACTCTTTAAAATGTAAATGGCCCAAATAAACATGGTCTAGTTCTAGTATGAAGAATGATTTATTTGAAACAAATCATTTTAAAACAAGCTAACAGAGAAAAAGTGATTACTTTTCAAAAGAAGGCCTCCAAATCACAATGGTTGTGATTAAGGGCAGTGGGGTAGGAATTTCTGATTTAGAAATGGGGTTTTAGTTTTCATTATACTCACATTTCATTCACACATACAAAGGGAAAACTAAAGAATGCAAATTGTCAGTATTTTGTACTTAGAGGGGATAAAAACATTTAAAAGCTCTTGTTTCTCATCCTTTTTAAAAAACTAAAAATAGATCTTATGTTTTGTTAAAAGCCTTTTCTGTGTGTCTATTGATTGACTCTCCTTGGTTTAGGTATCAAGGATATATCTGTTTTATAGAAGGAATCTGAGAAGTTCCCATATTTTGCTATCTTTGCAAATGGCTTGTGGAACACTGGAATTAGTTGTTCATTGAACCTTTGCTAGAATTTGCTTGTGAATCTACCTACTCTCAGGGGGTATTTCCTTTGGAAGTTCATTTTATTTTGGCTTGTCCAATTCCTTCTTCTGAAATTTCTTTATTTCTTGTTCAATTAATCTGGGTATAGTTAGACTTATTGGCATATAGTTGCACAAATAGTTTCTAATAATATATTTAATTTCTTCTTCATTTTCGATACTAATAACTTGGTTTCTCTCCTTCTTCTTTTTAATCAAATTAGCAAATGTTTTATCTACTTTGTTTTTTCTCCCCCAAATCATCTCCTAGTTTTATTAATTCAATGGTTGTTTTCTTTGAATTTCACGAATTTTTTTTGATTTCCAGGATTTCTATTTTGGTGTTTAATTGGAGTTGTAAAATTTGTTAGTTTTCTAGAGTTTTTTAGTTGTCAGACTAATTTGTTGATTTGTTTTTTCTCTTTTGTTGATTAAAGTGTTTAGAGATACAAGTTTTTTTCCCCCCTAATTCTTTTCTTAATTTTTAATTTAATTTAATTTTAATTTAAAAAAATGTACAGAACATTGTACTGAGGGTAGACAGTAGGTAGTACTTCAAAATTTTTAGGACAAGATTATTTCAAGCATACACAAAGCGTGGTAAATCAGCCTTATGTTCAGATGTACTATGAAATTATAACTATACCTTATAAACAGAGCTGCCTCCAACTATCCAAATCATGTCCACCTTATTTGCTAGTTCTGGAAGTTGCAGAAGGTCAAATGCATCATCCAGACTGTTGGCAAGATAATGAGCTCCAGGAGGAGGTTCCCTAAGTTGGAGAGGAAAAAAACCAACAATAACATTTGGTTATTTTTACTAGTCAAATAATTTTAAAGAGTCAATTAGTCAATTAACATTTATCAAGTGCCTATTATATGCCAGGCATTGAAGATATAAATGAAGGCAAAAAAACAGTCCCTGCTCTCAAGGAGCTCACAGTCTAATGGGGGGAGACAACAAGCAAACAATTATGCATAAACAAGACGCACACAGGATTAATTTGAAATAGTCTCAGAGGGAAAGCACTAAGATTAAGAACAGGGAAAGATTTCTTGCAGAAGGCGGGACCTTAGCTGAGACCTGAAGGAAGCCATGGAAGCCAGGAGATGGAGGTGAGGAGGGAGAGAGTTCCAGGCTTGGGAGATAGCCAGGGACCCACTGAGAGCTAGGAGATGGAGGACTGGTCTTGAGGAAAAGCAGGGAGCTCAGTGTTATTGGACCTCAGTCTATGTGGAGAAAAGTAAGGTGTAAGAAGACTGGAAATGTCGGAAGGGTCAGGTTATGAAGGGTTTTAAAAACCAAAAAGAGGATTTTATATTTGATCCTGGAGTTAATAGGGAACCACAGGAGTTTACTGAACAGAGGGCAACATGGTCAAACCTTCACTTTTATAAACCTAAGTCAATATTAATACAAATTAATGTCAATGTGGTCTTCAGTAAGAAAGATGGATGAAAACTTTGAAGCATAAATTCCCTAAATAGCTCTCCCTCCCTACTTGGTTTTCCTCCCTTTCTTTAGCTAAAGAGATTCAATTCAATAAAATAAGTGAATAACCAATTGATCTTTAAAATTGGTATCTAGGAGGTAGCTAGGTGGCACAGTGGATAGAGCACTGGCCCTGGAGTCAGGAGGACATGGGTTCAAATCTGGCCTGATACTTACTAGTTGTGTGACCCTGCACAAGTCACTTAACCCTGATTGTCTCCAAAAAATAAAATTGGTTTCTGACTTTACCATAGACTCCTTCTTATAAAATAAGGGACTCAAAGGCATCAAGGGTAACTTACTGGTCTTTGTTCGAAAACTTAAGCGTTAACTTCTTAGCCTGATATTTGCATATCCAATCTCTCTCTCTCTTTTTTTTTTGCTGCATAGAGAAAAAAAATTAGGACAATAGATAATTGAACTGCTCAGTTTGATTATATATGCACTTTGATTTCTCCTTTTTGCTTGTTGTCTGATTTGTGCTTATTTCACTGGTTGTTGGTACCTCTGGGGCAGCTAGAGTATAAGAGGAAAAATTCAAATTAATTAACGCTACTTGCTAACAGCAAAATCTGATGATAAAAGGTTGACAGAAGTAGCTATGGTTTTCTAGTCATCTCTTCAACACTTCAGCTGATCTATAATCTCACTAATTTCCCTCCAATGATGTAGATCCCAAACCATCCATGCCTGCCCATCCTCGGTAACTTTTGTCCATGACTTCCCATAAAGGGAGGAAAAAGGGAACAAATATTTATTAAATGCCTAGTATGTACCAGGCACTATCCCAAACACTTTACAAATATTATTTCATTTGATCCTCGTAACAACCCTAAGAGATTTATGCTATTATTATACCCATTTTGCAGTTGAGGAAACTGTTTCGGGTCATACAACTAGTAAATTTCTGAGGTCAAATTTGAACTCAGGACTTCCTGACTCCAGGAATAGTGCTCTACGTACAGGCTCATCCCAGGGGTCCACCCAACTTTCTCTATCTTCTCTTGACATCAAGAGGATACCAAGCAAGCATGTGAGCTGTCTGTCTCATTATTCATAGGATTAAACTATTCATTTATAAATTCACAAATGCCTACTCAGACCAAGGACTGATGTATTGAAAGAGCTTTTGGGGGCTGAATGGGAAGAGAGCAGCTCTGGTTGTTGGGGAGAACAGAATACAGCCAGGAATCTGAAAGTGTGTAACATTTGCAAATAAAGTGACCATAATTTCTTTCTATTCTAAAGACTTGTCTAAGAATCAGATCTAGGCTCCAATTTTTAACATTGTTACTGCACGTACTCGGGTAAATTCTTTCTTTCAACAAACATGTTGCTAAATTGTTTGGAAACAATCATAGGGGAATTAGATAAAGAAGATCTATGCAAAGAAACAGAAAGACAAGAGATGCAGGAAATAGAAATTTGTAAAAGGCAGCTTGGCTTAATGATATGGTACAGGGACTCTTAATGTGGAGTTTGTGAATTTTTTTTTTTTTTTTTTTGTTAGGCAATGGGGTTAAGTGACTTGCCCAGGGTTGCACAGCTAGTAAGTGTTATGCGTCTGAGGCCAAATTAGAACTCAGGGCCTCCTGACTCCAGGGCCGGTGCTCTATCCAGTGAACATGTTTTTTAAAAAAATATTTTGATAACGGTATTTCAAAATAATTAGTTTCTTTTGTAACTCTATGTATTTTATTTTATGTACTTAAAAACATTATTCTGAGAAGTGGTCCATTGGCTTCATCAGACTGCCAAAGGGTCTATGACCCAAAAAAAAGGTTAAGAACCTCTGGTGTAATGCATAGGGCACTTAGAGATAGGGACACCAGGATTTAAATCATACCCAGGTATTCATGTGACCCTATGCAAATCATTTAACCTGCCTATGCTTCCGTTTCCTCATCAGTATAATGAACGGGTTGGTTCTCAATGGCTTCAAAAGCCCTTTCGAAGTCTAAATCTATGATCCTCCATATTGAATGTCTATGATATATGCTCACTGGATGTTGTAGGAGACACAAATAGTTTTTGCCCACAAGAAGTCTTATATATGGTATGATGGAAATAACTGAATCTGGGAGTAAAAGGACTTGAATTTGAACCTCTAGCCCTGCTACTTACTAGATGTGTGCACTTGGGTAAATCAAGTGAATCTATAAGCCTTTTTCTCACATGTAAAATAAGGTGTTTGACAAGAATAACATCTCTTCCAACTCAAAAATCCTCTAATACTATGAAAGTGAAATTTAAACGAGCTTTAAAGAAGAGGACAGACTTCAGTGGGAGAAGAACATACCAGGTAGACAATGGCATGGGCAAAGGCAAGAGTGAATACAGATAAATAGAGAAGGGGAAGCAAGAACTTGGGAACTGGACAATTACACGAATAAGATTTGGAGTGAATGAAGGGAAGAGATTGAAGGCAGAGACCAGCTAAGAGGTTGTTCAATTAAATTAAGGCACGAGGTGAAAAGGGGTCTGGACTAGGGTGACTGAAGTAGTGACAGAAAAGTTCAATCTGAGGCATATTTCTTTCCTTAAGTTCCTCAGGGTCTCCCTATCTTGCCCCAAGCCATGGGAACTCTGACCTGGAACCTGGGCTGGTTTACCCTCTCTTAGGCAATTCCGTACTACCCTTTCTTCCTTATCAGGCTCACCAAACTGGTGCTAGACCTAGTGTGGTCATCCAGTTGGCTTAGTACACTGCAGCACAGAGCCCCCAAGTACAAATTAGAACTCCACCAATCTCAGTCTCCCCAGCAGCAGGGACTATAGGTGTTTTCTACCATATTGGCTGAGGGGGCATTTCAAAGAAAAAATTGACTTGGTAACAGATTGGATAGATGCAGTGAATAAGAAGTCATAAGTTTGTAATGTTTTTTTAGTTCAGGAAGCTAGAAGAATGATGGTACCCACAAAAGAGATGTGATCGTTAGGAAAGAAAGACTTATTGGCAGGGACATGTTGGAGGGGTTATGGTTCAGTTTTGTATATACTGAGTTTAAGATGATGGGGGAACATCCACCGAGAGATGTCTTGTCAATACCTAGAAATAAATAAGAGATTTGAATAGAGGTGAGGGGTCTGGCCTAGAGAGTTAGAAATCACCCCCTAATGAGGTGGCAGGTGAAACCATGGGACTTAAAGAGCCCATTAAAAACATGTAGAGAAGAACATAGCTAGGATAATGGATACTGCTTTTGTGTACATCCATAGGAAGGGAAGTTACAGTCAAGGAGTCAGAAAGTATGGTTAGTAATAGGAGAGGGAAGAAATTGTAGCTTCATGGAAATGGAAGACATGAGAGAGTTTCCAGAAAGAGTTCTTAGTCCGCAAGTAAGCAAAGTAAATGAGAATGGAACTGAGAAATGACCAATGAATTTAATTACTGTTAGGAAATTTCACTGAAGTAGTTTATGGTAGAAGTCAGAGTTCAGAACGCTAAGGGGATGGACAGATAAGCAGAGGCAGAATACTTACTTGAAATTATCAGGTAACTAAGGGATCATAGATTTAGAAATAGAAGTGACTTAGAGGTCATGTAGTAGAAAGATGGTAGCTGGAAAGGTTGGCATGGTCAAACAAAAGCTTTCTTATTTTAATGACAGGGAGGTGTGAGCATGTCTGAAGGTAGAAGGGAAAGAGCCCAAAGGAAGGAAGAAATTAGAGATGATAGAAGGAGGCAATAGTTATTAGACAGCTCCCTAAGGATGGAGATCATGCCTTATTCTTCTTTGTACTGCTCCAAGGGCCTCCAAAGGCTTTACAGTAAGGGCTCAATAAATATACTGAATAAATGAATAATCACAGGTTTAAACTTCTAGAGGAGGTGGGAAGACATGGGGTCCAGAGTTCAAGTGAAAGGGTTGATTTTTTTGAGATGAAAATCCTCTCTTTCACTGAGACTGGAGGGAAAACTAAGATGTCAACTGTGTGCATAGGGATATGCTGAGCTAAGGATTAGAGGAACATTCTCACTTTTCTCCATGGGTACAAGGAAAGGCACATCTGATAAATTGGGGTCTGTCTGGGAACGGGAGGAGTTAATGGTTTAGGGAGAAAAGATAAAGCCTGGAATAATTCTTGGCTATATTAGAGATAATGAGAAAAGAATGAATAAAAGAGAAAATCTTCATTGTGTCTACTTATACTACAAACTTTTTTAAAAAAAAATTTCAATGTCATATAAAAGTGCTATGTATGGCAGCAATTTTATCTTTTAACCCGAAAGCTTTTTAAGATCTTTTGAAAAGAAGTGTTTATGAAGGTAAGGTACTA